CTTTTTGGTGGGACTGGTTGAACTCAGGATTTTGCACTTACAAAGTAGGTACTCCACCACTTGAGCCACACCTTCAGTCCATTTTGCTGTGGTTATTTTGGAGACGGTCTCGCAAACTATTTGCCTGGGATGACCTCAAGCCTCAATCCTTCTGATCTCAGTCTCCCAAGTAGCTAGGATTAAAGACATGAGCCACCAGCACCCGGCACACAGTATCTTCTTTTAAAACAAATATTTATTCAGCAACTCGTTCAAGTCCAAGGACTGCCAAGAGCTGGGTTGACCAAGGAACCAGCATGTGTGTATGTCACACTCTGGGCCAACAGGAGCTGTGAGAAGTCCCACAGGCAGAGTTCCCAGCCTGACAAGTGAAAAAGATTAAAATCACAGTCTCGACAGCATTTCCCTACCTGTGTCAATTAAAAGTGTGTGCACACACATGTGTGTCTCCAACAGACTGAGAGCAGAGTCTTATAGACTAATGTCTGGGTGGCAGTTACTGCAGGAACCCCTGAGTGCTGACAGGTAAGACAGAGTGTTAGGGACATGCAGAGGAATCTCCCTCTCTCTTTAATACTACATCTGCAGGCATGATAGTACACACCTGAGGCCACGAGGGGCAACATAGTGTTTTTTCTCAAAAAAAAAAAAAAAAAACAAAACTGCGAGGCATGGTGGTTCACATCTGTAATCTCAGCTAGGAGGCAGAAGTAGGAGGATCAAGGTCTGAGGCCAGGCAAAAATCACAAGACCCTATTTGAAAAATAAACTAAAGCAAAAAGAACAGGAGGCATGCCTCAAGTAGTAGAGAGCTTACCTAGCAAGTGCAAGGCCCTGAGTTCAAACCTCAGTCCCTCAACAACAGAAAACTATCAAGTAGATAAAACTGACTATGGAGTTGGACTAAAATGGGACGATGCCTGGTTAGGCGGGAGCAGCCTCCTCTTGGTAAAGTAACCAGGGAAAGTCAAGGACAGACTCCGAGTTACTTTCCTTATTTCCACTTTACCTTCAGGATGCCTTGTGTCTCTGATGACATTTTCCTTGGGGGTCTGTGACTCTCCTGCTTGAGTGTCAAGAGAAGAGTCCCTCCACTCCATCCAGAACTCTGGGAGGGGTCCCAGACCAGCACATTGGCATCCCTGGTACCCCAGGGACATGGCATGTTCTCAGGACCCAGTCCAGGCCTGTTAGAAGATGAACTCCAAGCACAGGGCCTGGCAGTCTGTTTTAACCAGATCTTTGTCAAAACACGGATTCATCGGGATAGGCTTCGGTTGGATGAGGCTGGAACCACTGGTGGTTCTGAAACAAATTAGGGGAAATCCTCCTCCCCTAAGGCAATTAGACCAACAAGGAAAAGCTTTTTAATTTGCATTTTTAGCTGATGTAAGTATCTCCTCCCTACTGCATCCTAAGCAGTTCATTCCTGGCATGGGGGTGGGGGATGGGGTAGCTGGCAGCCTGCACCTGACCAGTGGGAACAGGCAGGTCCTGGTCAGGAGTCCAAGGCCAGAGCCCAGGCACAGACAGGGCAGGGTTGTAGATAAGACGCTACTTGAGGGTAACAGGGTAAGATAGAAGAAGTCAGTAAAAAAGAGAAGCGCTTAAAAATAAGAAGTGAAGTTACAATGGTGATTAAAAAATAAAACACAGAAGAAACCCTGTCCAGGCTTAAATCGCTAATGATAGTGACCTTTAGACTAGAACTGAGAGGGCCTGGTAGGGCTGGTAGAAAGGAGCTGGGAAGTCCTCCCTTGTCACTTCACTTCTTGTGTGTTTCTTCCTAACACTGGGCATTACATTTATACCAGCACATGGGGACAAGGTAGCACCCAAAAGCCGTCAAGTTCACTGCTGAAGGCTTGTGAACAAGCCTGGACACACCCTGCCAGCCAGATCCCTGAATGCATACCAGACACCTGGCCCCACTACCAAGTAACCCTTCTGTCTGAAAGAGCAGCCCCACATTGGCCACCAGGTGTCAGCCTTCTCCCAGAGGTGCCCCAGGCAAAGGGTGGGCTCCCCATGCCCCACACCACATTCAGCATGGAAAAGAAACTGCTGCACAAGGACCAGAGCTGCTGCGGGCCTGGCCCTGGCCTGAGCTCTTCCCGTCACACCTAGGCTGATAACCAGGGCCCCAGAACCTAGGTCATCTGGTACCTAAACCCAGATCAGTGAGAAGCCCGTGAAGTTCAAAATAAAACAGGGTAGTGTGAATAAAGTTATTTGATGGGGTCAGAGAAGCCATATGTGATTTAAAATATATAAATAAATAAATAAATAAATAAATAAATAAACAGGGTGGACTAGAGGACACATCTGAAATGGATGTACTGCAAGGAACAAGAAAAGCAGGAGTCCTATCAGCAAGGGCCTGTGGACCTGTGGGCCTGTGAACAAGCACAGCTCACAGCATGAAGCTAGCCCTGCTTGTATGGCGACAAAAGGCAGGTCCCCTTGAGGAGGGCAAGTGGAAAGGGGCGTGATGCCTACATGCAATGCATAATAGTTGATCTGACCACGAATTTCGACAAGAGCAGTAACTACCTTGGCCTAGCAATGCAGTTCTGGGTATTTAAAGGCTATTTCAGCAGCATGCCTGCCTTGCAAGCACAAAGCCCTGAGTTCAAATCCCAGTACTACCAAACTAACTAAATAAAAGTCCTGTAAACGATATTCTGTAAGGTAATGGAGAAATTTCGATTTTGGTTTGGGAGCACATAATTTTATTGAACTGCTGTTACATTTCTTGAGTATGGTAATGATACTGTGTTGTATCCCTGTTTTAGGAGACGTGTGCTGAGGGGTGTAGGGAGTACAGGGGTGAGTGACTGTGACTTACGCTGAAATGGGCCAGCAAAGACAGAAGCAAGCTGTGCAAAACTGTTCACTACTGTTGGATCTTAGGAAAGGGCTTATACTTTTCTTTCAACTTATCTAAATTTCTCAAAATATTATTTTTTTTTGCGGGGCATCTGTTGGCAACATGAGCACCTTAACAAAAGCAAAGGAAAATGGAATAAAGGCAAATTGATGGGACTGGATGAGGAGTTACCCAGACCATAGAGGAATGAGGAGGAGAAGTGACTGACTGAAGGAAGACTAGAACAAAACAAGGCAGGCTCAGTTCAAAGAGGCCCAGGAAACAAAGAGAAGGAGCAAAGGTACACAACAGTGAGGCTTTCTGGATCTGTCCTCCTGATGTCAAGGAGAAAGGAGGGAGATATTTCCAAGCCTTGACAAAGATGCAAAACGCAGGCTGGACTCCAACTACTCCACTCTAACACACACAGAAAGGGAGAGATCAAGGATGGAGGGAAGAGAAGGAAGGTGTTGCTATACTCACACAAGCTGCTACTCATGCAAAAAAAAAATCAAAACACTTCAAACAGGCAAGAATTCAGACAGCACCCCAAGGGCGTTAAACCACAGCAAACACCCTAACATCCAGCTCTTGCAAATCAGTTAGAAAAATCTCCTTCCGGTGCATTCTCACACTCCAAAGAACCACAGCCCTCGCCACCCATAAGCCCAACAAACCCCATATGTGTTTCCAGCGGGGACCAGCTTTCAAGGGCCATCCTCCCCACCCATCATTGAGACCTCCTTCCTTGATGTGTCCCACCACTTCAAAGGCACAATGGCCAAAACAGAACTGATGCTTCACTAATTCCTTCAGAGTTGCTGCTGTCCCCTGTCCTGACTCCTTAAAGTCACCCCAGGCTCCCACCCTCTTCCACCATCCATATCACAACCACTGATAGCTATGCTTCCTACAGGGTTCCTAACCCTTCTCTGCTCTCTGAAGCCTCCTCTGGGTACCCAGTCACCACACCCACAGCCTAAATGACCAGGCTTATTCACAGAAGCCTCCATCTCTAGAAGATACTGACACCACCTGCACCGCCCCTCAAAACCCCCCATTCCTGAAACCTGCCCCGGGCCATCTTGGTCCATGGCTTTGTGACACCTCGGCCACAGGGCCTGCCTCTGGTTTCTTCAGCCCTCAGCTCAAGCTCATCTCTTCTGAGACTTCCTCCCCTGAGTTTTTAAGGGAATATGGAAAAGAAAAATCTACAGATGCTCTGCAGAGACACCATTTTTGTTTGTTCATTTGATTGTTCTGACAAGGGGGTCTTGCTATATTGCTCAGACTGGCCTCCAACTTGTGATTCTGCCACCTCCCCTTCCTGAGTGCTGGGATTAGAGACATGTGCCACCATGCCTCCCATGACAAACTTTTTTAAAAAATATTTTCTATCCACTGTTGCAGGTACAGGACCAAGCTGTACCAGTAGCTGACTGTAACCTCTGGAGGCCAAATACTTTTTGGAAAAACTCAGTCTCAAAAGAAGCGTGATCATGAAGAGGAAAGCAAAGCATTCACGTTTGTCTCAAGAGTCTGTGAACGAAGTTCTAAGAGAGGAGAGCCACAATGCACCTGGCGATGGAGGCGTTAAGCACTGGCCTCTTGACGTGAGCATGATGGGCCCGGTGACATGAGTTTGGACACACATTACAGGACTCTCGCTCTAATTTAGCCTCACCTTGTTGACACAAATACTGTAATGGCTCCCAGAGAACAGTTCCTGGTTTTTCCTTAAATCTACAGGCAAAGTACAAGGTCAGCTCTCAGTGGATCTCCTTTCAAGTTAATTCGCTGTAAAACACATCTCTTCCACAAGTGGTTCATCAGCACCCTACAACCCCAGTTTGGAAGGCTAGGGAGCTCTAGGTGAGGCAGGGACAGCTGGGTTTCTGGTGAAGCTCAGGTTCAAGGATGTCGGCTGGTTTGAGGCCCCAATCTGCCTCACACTGAATTCTGCATGATGGGTAAACTCTGCACTGTCCCAAAAGTCCTCATGCTGGGCAGCCCTCTCCCCGTACCTGTTGGTAGCAGGTCAAGTCTGTCCTTACATCACACCCACGAGCCACAGGAGCCCGTGCTGCCCAGGAACAGCCCGCTGGGAGGGAAGGGGGTGACCGGCTCTTACCTGCCTGCGCAGCCGTGATTAGGGCCGTGTTCCCCTCGCTGTCCTGCCAGTTGACGTCAAGGTGGGGGCACTCTGCTAAGGCCACCACAGTATCCACAAAGCCATGGCAGCAGGCGACAATAAGGCCGGTCTAGAAATGAAGAGGGGAAGTAGGTCAGAGGGGCACAGCCAGAGGGTCAGCAAGCACAAGGGACCCCAAGGGCACAGCTGTCCTCCAGTGGGGCTTGGAAACATGGCAATAAGGATCCTGAGTCCTCAGTTCCCAACAGCACACTGGAGAAAGCCAACCACTGGTTCACCCTCATGTGTTTATTGAGCAGAGACTGGGATGTGTGGAAACTTCAGTGAATAGCTTGGTCCCTGCCTTCCGGGAGTGTCCCTTCAAACAGGAGGGGAAAAGGAACCCTGCAGGCCCCATACAAGTGATGGAGTGTGGCAGGCAGTAGCCTGGGGCAAGATAGGCCATGAGTGCAGGCCATGAGTGCAGGGCAGGATGTGGGGTCAGCGTGGACTCAGAAGAAGGGAATGTTGGGGCCCTTGCAAGGGAGGCAAGGGAAGAAGCCAGGGGGACCTGGAGGGGACACAATCCAGGCAGAAGAAACTGCCTGTCCATTCAGGGAACAGCTAGGTGGCCCAGAGGACTGGAGAAGAGTGGGCAAGGGAGGAGGGACCAGGCCACCAAGCAGCTGAGAGCTTTCGAACATCCTGAGCAGCAGAGTGTCAATTTTCTGCATCCATGCTGGCTGCTGGGCGGGAAACAGGCTGCAGAAAATTAGAGAAGAGCCTACTGCAGAGGCCGGGCAGATGACGGGGGCAGTCACAGGGGGGTGAGGCAGTGTCTGTGGAGGTGGCGGGGAGACGTGTGTGGATCCTGATATCTTGAGAAGCTAGATTTAGTGTTGGAAGCTTAGCATGGTGGTACACTCCTGTCATCCCAGCAGATGGAGACTGAGGCAGGAGGACCATAAGTTTGAGGCCTGCTGGGGTTACAGAGTGAGACCCTGTCTTTAAAAAAAGGGCTGAGGGCATGGCTCAAGTGGTAGAGCACCTGCCTTACAAATGTGAGGCCCTGAGTTCAAACCCCAGTACCACCACCACCATCAAAAAAGAATTTACCTAGTGCCTGTGGTTCAAACCTATAATCCTAGCTACTTAGGAGGCTAAATCAGGAGGATCGTCCCAAGGCCAGTGAGGGCAAATAGTTCACGAGACTCCCATCCACAAAATAACCTGAGCAAAAAAGGACTGGAGGTGTGGCTCAAGCAGTAGAGCACCTGCTTTGCAAGTGTGAAGCCCTGAGTTCAAACCCCAGTCCCATCAAAAAAACAAATAAACAAAAAAATAGATTTGAGGTATGAGAAGGAGACAAGAGCCCAGAATAACCCCAAAGTTTTGGCTTGAGCAACTAGGTAGATGTGACTGCCATCAAGTGAAAAGGAGGAGACTGGGCAGAGCACACATAGGGAAAGACAGGTTGCATCAGAAACTGTCACAAGATGGCCAGGTGAAGATGTCCAGGTAAAGACATTGGATGGAGAGAAGGACATCACGTGAAGTGGAAAAGAGGTCCAAGCAGGATAGATTAACAACCTGAGGGATGATTTTTGGAGATCTATTAATTAGATATTTACCTAATCCTCAAAAACATATAATATTATTATCTAGGACTGCCAACAAATCCATCACAGCTGGCTTAGACTCCATGGCCTGACCATACCTCAGTCCTCTGGTCCTAGAAGGACAGCAGCACTGGGAAGGGCTCCAGGACCTCTGCTGAATACATGGACAGCAAGGTCTGCCCCAGAAGCCTGAGCACAGCCTTTGACAAGATGAGGAAACAGGACCCTGCGGCTAGTGGCTTTCCCATGACAGCAGGCAAGGAGGGGAGCAGACAACTGAGACCCATCTCCTATATGGGGCTTCCAACAGCAGTGGCAAAGAGGGCCCCATGAGGCCTGCTGGCTGCCAGGCCTGGATGTCTCATCTTCTCTGCTTCATCACAACACCTCTCTGAGAACACACTGGTCGCCTACTTTCACAGCTTGCCCAAGGTCACTTAGGGAGGGACATAGAGGACCAGAATGCAAAACTGGACACTGGCCTTCAACTCTCTGCACTGATCCTAGTGTCCCATATCAACTATTGAGACCCATCCCCTCCATTGGTAGGTCTCTGGCTTTCCTGTCTCAAGTTTCCTATGAGCCTAAGTCACAGCCCTGTCTATCAGAACCTTTGGTGAGCCCAAGAAACTCTGTCATAAACCAATCAGGGCCATAGGCCTGCAACCACTGTAACCTATCAGTGAAAATAAATGAAGAACCACTAAATTCTCCTGGCTTCCCTGGAAAGGTCTCTCTTAGGAATAAACTGTACCCCCCATTACCCACCCAAGAAAAAGAAAAAGATAGGTTAAAGCCTTAACCTTCACGCCCTCAGAATGTGACCTTATTTGGAGATGGGGTCATTGCAGATGGGACTAGTTAAGTCAAAATCGACCCCTAATCCAGTACCAATGGTGTCCTTAAGAGGAGAGGAAAGAGATGGGAGAAGACCATGAGAAAACACAGCAGCCATTGGAGAGAGGTGTCTTAAAGCCAAGGATCACCAAAGACTGCCAGTAGGCACCAGGGCTGGAAGAACCAGGAAGGATTCCCTACCCCTGATACCATGGCTTCAGACTGCTGGTCTCCAGAACAGTGAGACAATAAAGCTGCTGCTTGGAGCTAATTATAGTTTCTCAGGCCCAAGAACCAAGCTAGGCAGACAACTTGCTCTACCACTCATCAGCCTTTCTTCTCTTCTAGGACTGTGAGTAGTGACCACACTGGTGCATAAAGACAACCTCTTCTAAACTGGCTTCATGCCACTTTAATTACAGGATCGATTTCAACAAGAGCTCTAATGGGTACCTGTTTGTCACCTCCGTATTTATCTTCTCAGGGTGATGTAGTGGAATTATTCTTTGGGGAATTAATAACTCCTTGCCTCTACCATGCAGTTCTACTAGGAGTGAGCCATTCTTCCCACCCCACCCTCACCCCCACCCCAGGGCTCTAAGCCAATCACGTCACCAGCCCTGAGCACTGTGACTGGTTCAGAAAGAAGCATGTAAACTAATGGGTCAATGAGAGACAAGGAAGGCTAAGCAGTGCTACCTAAGCCAAGCTTGGCTCTGGCTGGTGGTGGAGGCAAAGGCTCTGACTCCTACTGCCTTCTGAGCAGCTGGACTGAACCTCACCTGCCCTGACGGTCCTGGACTCTCCAAGTATGTGAGCTGATACCCCTCATATTCGTCCTTGTTTTTATTTAAGGGGTGGGAATTTAGGCTAATTGAAATGGGCTTTGTGCCAGTTACAGTGGAAAGATTTCCACCTCATTAACACATTCATCCTATCAACTGGACATCATTACAAGTCCCTTGGAAGGGCTGGCAGAGGCTCAAGTGGTAGAGCACCTGCTAGCCAGTGTGAGGCCCTGAGTTCAAACCCCAGTACCACCAAAAAGAAAAAAATCTCTTGGATGTTAGTTGGTGCTGGCACGAACAGAGTTCCCTACCTGCAACTCCCAAGAAAAGGACTCTGCCATTTCTGAGCTCTGTGACACTCTACAGGGTCTGAGGCATTACTGAACCAAGGCTTACTTTTATCACTCCAATCAAGTCAGTGGCAGGAGGGGGGATGGGACTCCATGCTGTCCTTTGAAATTGTAAAGGCAAACACCTACACATCACCCAGCAAGAATGTGTCACATGCACACTTTTGAAAAACGCATACTAGACAGATGACTTGAGAACAAAAACGCACAAACTCAAGCCCAAGGAGGCACTCCTTGGTCCCCAAAAGGCTTGCCTAGAGGGTCAATGGCATCTCCCTGAATTATGGATGGAGTGTTTGTGTTTTCCCAGAATTCCCATGTTGAAATCCTAACATGGATTAGGTACTAGGAGGTGATCAGATCCTAAGGGTGGAGTATCATGATAGGATTAGTGCCCCCAGAAAAAGGACCTCAGAGAGCTCTCCAGCCCCCTTTCCCAGCATGTGAGGACACAGAGAGAAGGTAGCCATCTGCACCCTGAAAGAAGGCCCTAACCAGAGCCCAGCCCTGCTCACATCCTAATCTCCAGCTTCCAGCCTACAGAACTGCAAGAAAGAAATTCCAGTTCCTCATCACACCATCTATAGTGTTTTGTTACAGCAGCCGCAGCTGGCAGACACCTTGTGACAGACTCAGGCTCACTGCCTCAGACACATGGGTGCGATGCTAAAAGTGAACCCAAGATAAACACTGGAGAGCCAGAGCTAATGACCAAGCCACCCCATGGGGGATGCAAAGTTTAAGGTCAGAACAATCCCACGGGAGTTTTAAAAAGAACGTGATTTTGAATGTGTGGTGTGGTGGCGCACATCTATAATCTCAGCACTTGGGAGGTGATGGCAGGAGGATCACAAGTTCAAGGTCAGCCTGGGCTACATACGGAGACTTTTTCAAAAATACAGGAAAAAAAAGAAAGAAAAGAAATCCATCAAACACTGTTTGAAAAGTGAGGAGGAGGAGAATGAAAATATAACAGATGGGTTATCGATTCTATTAGAGGGGGTGGGGAAAAATAAATCTGTGCAGGACACCCGGTCACAGGCCGTGAGACAAGGCAGGAGCAGGCACAGGCTTGGGTGTGCACAAGTCTAGCAGGAGAACAGGTCGTTGGAGCTCACCATCCAGTGTGCCTCCCTGTCTCCAGGAACCTGTGGTACAGCTTTCCTCAAAAGCAGCTCAGCAGAAAAGGAGCCTTATGCACCAGAGTGGGAGTGTCCATCAGTGCAGCCACTGTGGAAATCAGTACAAGGCTCCTCCAAAAGCCAAAAATAGAAATACCGTGTCACCCTGCCAAACCACTCCTGGCATAGACCCAGAGGAGTGTAAGTCAGGATACAGGAGGGACCTGTACACCATGTTTGTCACAACACTGTTCACAACAGCCAAGCTATGCAATCAGCCTAGAGGGCCATCAACCAATGAATGGACAAACAAAATGTGACACACAAACACACACACACACACCCAGGAGTAGTATTCAGCCATAAAGAAGAATGAAATGTCATTTGCAGGAAAATGGATGGAACAGGAGATCAT